AGGAGATTTTTAGTTTCCCACTCAATTTCGTGGCATTCGACCTTCTGTAGGTACTTTCCTCCCCTAATGCCGGGAAATGATCTTCATTAAATATACAATCAGCGTATCGACCCGTATGTAGGTCTCCTCTCAATGGTTCTAAAAATTTAATGATAGACGGAGATTCAAATCCTACATAGATTCCCAATTTTCTATGAGGACCCATTGACATACGCTTAGGTGGCGGTATAGGGACGTATACAACACATCCAAATTTGCGCAAATGGGAAATATTTGGTGCATATCCACGTGTAAGCTGCATAGGGGATACAACATTGTATGCAGTAGGTCTGATTTGAAGTAACGCCGCTGCATGCAAAACAATGTGTCCCCAACATGTAGTTGGTAGGTTGCTATGCAGTAGCAATGGCCTAGCGATAAGCTTAATCCTCTTAATTAATGATTCGGCGAGACCATTCTGAGTGTGGACGTGTGGTACATAATGTTCCACTTTAATTCCCAAAGCCATGCAATATTCATTAAATACCTTAGAGGTAAACTCCCCGGCATTGTCCATTCTAATGGATTGTATCCGGTTATCCAGGAAACTGGCTCTCAACTGGATTATTTGGGAAATAAGCCGCGCAAAAGCGTGGTTTCTAGTAGAAAGTAAGCAAACAGTGCTCCATCGAGTTGATGCATCAATTAATACCATAAAATACCGGAATGATCTGGACATGGGATTAATTGGTCCACATATGTCTCCCTGTATTCGTTGCAAGAATATTGGTGATTCCGCGTTCACCTTTAGATTAGAGGGTCTAACGATTAATTTCCCTGTTGCACAATCAGTGCAAACAAAATCTTCTTGGTTTGGGAAATCGTTAGTTCGTAAATTATGGCCATTTTAAGTTGAGATGATTCTTCTCATCATCCCTAGACCTGGATGTCCTAACCTGTCATGCCATATTCTGTATGACTCAGGATTTTTAAATATTGTTTTCAGTGCAACATTTTCGGGTTTTATATGAGTGTAGTACAGGCCAGATTTCAAGGAAGGGAGTTTTTCAACAACAGTCTTACGATTTCCGTCTAATTTCGTTATGAGAAGAAATTCGAGTTTATTCTCATCTTTGGTTTCTACATGATAACCATTAGCACGGATATCTTTAAAGCTTAGGAGAGTACGACTGGACTCTGGATATAATAGAGCATCATTTATAATGATCTTGGTACCATGTGGGAGAACTAATGTTGCTCGTCCCATTCCGACGATGTGTGCATTGCTTCCGGCAATAGTAGCGATTTGACCAGTCTTTTTCTTTAAAGTCTGGAAATACGTGGTACCTCAAAAGATAGTATTGGTGGTACAACAGTCTACCAGACACATCTCCTCTTCCATTGCCATAGTACGTAACACTGTTCTATCATAAAGCATTTAAATATAATCAATTCATGACCATATAGTAAAAATAACACTTTAAGAAAGAAAAATAAAAATCTGGAGAATATATTAAACTAAAAGAGTTCACTCAATTATTAAGATAACCATGCTCTAAAGGAGCTTACAGAAACTATAGTTCTGCTAGGAACACAAACTAAATGCACACTTGAAAAATCACCTAACTTTAGTCTATTACATAGTCTAAAATTTAAAGTAACTTGTAATGCAGGAAGCTAAGATACAAATTGGAAGACTTAAATGTCCCCATATAACTGATCATAGTCCATGAGATCATCTGAGAGCTTCAGCTCTGCGTCTGCTGCATTCTGTTCCATCTTATCATCGATGTGCATTGCAACCACTGCCTTCTCGTCGACCTTCTTGTCGATATGCATGGCAGCCATCTTCTCCTCTGAGTTCTGGATCTCAACAGTGAAGTGTGACTCATGCTCTGACTTCTTCTTCCTGTGCTTCTCTTGATAAAGCTCAATGAGATGATTAGGGGTGCGGCAAATGCGAGACCAGTGTCCCCTAGTGCCACACTTGAAGCATACCTGATCTTGCTTTCCATATTCACCACTAGTAGAGCCCTTCTTAGACTTACTGTTCTGATTTCCTTTCTTCTTGAAAGACATCTTGTTAACTTTGCCACCATTTTTCCAGAAATTCTTCCCTTTGTTCTGGTTATTTTGGTTTTTCCCCTTCTTAAAGGAGCTAGCATTTGCTTCGGGTGCTGCTGAACTTCCAGTGGGGCGAGACGTATGATTTTCAACAAGTGTCTCATCTTCTCCTTGCGCTTCCATGAGCACGAAGACCAGTTCAGAATACTTCTCGTATTTAGCCTGGCAGTATTGCCTCTGAATATTCACATGATTGGCATGGAAGGTGGACAAAGTTTTGTCTATCATGTCAGCATCAGTGATTTTCTCTCCACATAGCTTAAGACAAGTGACAATGCGGTGAAGAACTGAGTTATATTGCTCCACAGATTTGTAATCCTGGAAACGTAAGTGAAGCCACTCACGTTTTGCTTTTGGGAGCAAAGCCTTTACTTGATGGCCATAGCGATCCTTCAGTGAGTCCCAAAGGACCTTCGGATCTTCCTCAGTCATATACTCATTCTTGAGAGTAGTATTCAAATGGTGCCTCAGGAAATGCAGTGCCTGATTTTTCTCGGCTGAAGTTGGTAAATTATTAACTCCTCCAGCTGATGTTGCAATAGTTGGGTCCTGAATGCAGTTCAGGAGTTTCTTAGCACCAAGCATGATTTGGTATCTAGTGCCCATGTCAAGTAATTCTTGCCGCTGACTGCTAGTTCAGCAAAATCTCTCTTAGCAATATAAGTCATTTTCCTACATTAGTCATGCAAAATTCAATAAGTACTGCAAGTAAGAGCATGACAAGTGTGCAAATAGTAAATTGTTTGGTTATCCAAATTTAGTACTGTGTCAATATATTCCCATAATTCTCCCAACATTTCTCAGAATTGTTGTACTATTTATTTAGGTACCAAAGTAATTACTGAATTACTAACCCATTAAATAGTATCCTGAAAAAAATAAAACAGCTAGGAAAATAAACCATAAATATGATGCTCTCTGGTGTGTACTAAATTTCAAATTATGAGAGCTCATTTCCTAAAAACCATGTCTCTAGGATTCTATGGTTGATTCAAAAATTAACTAATAAACAGTTAATATACAGAAAATCGAAAGTACGGAATAACAAAAAAAAAGTGATATTCTCTGTAATTTCTATGATCCCGAGGGACTATTCCGCTAAAATTCCAAATCCGCGTGTATCCTGAAAATTGAAGGACATATTCAGAAGTTTGCTTTTTTCGGGCCAACTTTCGATTCGAGCCCGACTCCTTTTATAGGCCTAATTTATACTCGGCCCACCTCTATGTACCGGCTATTCAAAGGTTAACCGGCCCGTCGGGACCGTCGGCCTGCTAATGGCCTTGGCCCATATGCGGCCCAACAAGGGCGCCGCACCTTATCCAATTGGGTGGCTAGGGTTGAAACCCTAGCCCCCAATTCCACCGATTCGATGGCGGTGGCGGGTATCCCGGCGGCTCATGCGGGCGAGGCGGCGAGGTTGACGGGGCTCGTCGGCGCGGCGGGGTCGACGATAGAGGCGGAGCGGTGGTGAGGCTACAAGTAGCACCGACGCCGGCGTGGTTGGCTACGGGCCGTATCCGGCGTCCGGCAAGCGCAGCTCCTTGCTGTGCGCCGGCGGAATTTGGCTCGGCATGCGGGCCGGCGAGGCGGACGGCTATCGGCGGCGGGAGGCCGCGGCGGCTTCGACCCCCGTCCCAGTCGCGTGCGGTAGCGCGGGAGGCGTGCCGTGCGCGCCGGCGGCGGGGGGATGCGGGCGTGGTCTCCTCAGCGTCTCTGCGGGCGGCGGCCGTTGACGGCGAGTGCAGGCGGTCAATTGAAGACCCGTCGGCTGGCTTTTCAAGGGCGAACCGACGACGGAAAGCCGATGGCACGATTCTGCGGCCATCGGTGAAGGGGGTGGCCGGCGACGCGTGCTGGCGGCGGCGAGCGCACGATGGCGCATGCTAGCGTCATTGACTCGGTTTCGTCGTCGTCAACTTCAGGAGGACGGCGGCGCTGGCATGAGGATTTGGGCCGATTCGTTCAGAATCGGCAATCACGTTAGCCAGGTACGCGATTCTTCTCATGTGCATCGCGATTACACCCTGAACGTAGCGTCGCCCTGAGGCATCACTAGTTCTAAACCGTCGTTCTTGTGGCGGCTTGTCTGATCCGTTCGCGCGTCTAGGGCGTACGGTATCCGTGTATTTGTTTGCAAGAAAAGAAACCCAGCGCAAAGGCTGGGAACATATCTAATCGGACTATAGCGATAACCGCTTCTCGTTCGATAGATCGGTTGTACAAGGGATAACCCCATACGCCTGTCGCGCATGGGGTGGAGAGCCACAAACTCTCCTGCTACGTGCGCCATAAGGGACAAATCCACGTAGTACAACCCATCGATCGAACGATTAGCGGAGAAAAAAAAACAGAAAACGATCTAGCAAGTTTATCGTTATCCCTATAGAACGAGATTAGGACAGATCGATGTTGACAATATACCTTGGCTGAAGAGCACCTCGTGCTAATAACGTGTTAGAATTCACGTTGTCAACAATCGAACAAGCACACACGAACACACGGACACGAAAGTGGAGGGCAATCAACTTTATTGATGTTTCTCTCTCTGTTACAAGTATTACTTTGCCCTCAATCTCACTATTGTATTTATACCCACAATAGGATGTCCTATATGGATACATACATATATATTTGGTATAAGTCCACTTCATTAATAAGGAAATAGAAGAATAGAAGGAGGAGGTACCGTGATCCTCACGATCACGGTCCTACAAATCCGACTCCTTTAAAAAGATCGGTTTCATAACATGCATAGTACATACATAACCCAGAGATACTACTACTATCATCACGCACGGCAAAGTGATAAGCCCAACCGTCCGGTTCATCCCACCCTCTCCCAGGAGGAGCCGCGCGCCCATCCGGCCGCCACGCGGACGGGCACCCACACCATCGGCCACTTGTCGGCCGCGTCCCGCGCGGACCACGCCACCTGCATGCCCGTCTCCTCTCCATCTCCCGCGCGGAACACGACCTCGCCCGCGCGCCCAACTTCCTCGAAACCGACCTCCATCCATCCATCTGTTCAGCTCAGCTGCCCACCCGCCCGTGTGCGTGTGCGTGCGTGCCCCCTCCGTTGACAGAGTCCCCGCGCGCTGCGCTGCGCTGCCCGCGTGAGCGAGCCGAAGAATATCTCGCCGTCACGGCTTTTGCCTTCGCCTTGCCCACCCTTGGCTCGCTGCGCCCTGCGTACGTAACGTGAATACGTGATATCGCGTCCGTCTCTCCTCCTCTTTTCTGCCTGCGTCTCACCAACCTCCTCTCCTCTCCTCTCCTCTCCTATATCTTGCTCGGTCGCGCGCGGTCGAGTGGTCGACGCAGATAAACAAAACACCGATCGAGTCTTCGAGCTCGTTCCCGTGAGTTCTTTTATTAGTTTGCTCCATCGATCCCCCTGCTCTCTTCCTCTGCTTCTGTTGTTAGGGTTCAGAGGACGAACAACGCCGGTGGTTGGACTACTCTCGCGCTCGGGGAGATGGCAAGCTTCGGCGAAGACAACAGAGCAGCGACACAGAGGGAGGAGGTATGCATACTCATCTACTATTCATCTAATTCTCTGTGTTGTCTCCGTGCCTCTCCTCGACTTTACCATGATCAGCCTACCATGGCATGAACATTTCTTGCTTTCGGTTATCGCCAACGAACTGAAGTTTTCTTTCTTTTTTTTCTGTTTCATTTCCCTCTATTTCTCGTATGCGAATATAGCTTTGGTGATCGAGAGGAGTATTTATATTATGCCTCTGGTGAAGTGTTTCGCTAGACAAATGCATTTGTTAATGGCAGTAAATATTTCCGTTCATAACTCTCAACCAATATTCAGGTGGGCATTAGCAATTAGAAAGAGTCTCTTAAAATGATCTCCGTTACATGGCCAAAACTCTAGCAACTTAGACCGAAGAATTTAGAGCACTTACAGTTATTAATCAAAACGTTAACAAGAGTTTCTGAAATATATTACTCTTGTTTAGAGTTCAAATTTCTTTCTCTCTTTATCTCTTTCGAAGTATACTATATAGTTCAAAATTTTCTTATCTGCCGCCACCGTTTCCCGGCGTTGATTTTGGGATGGAAACAACACCAAGTCACCGTGAACGTCACGTGGCATTTGAAAACTCAGGTCAGGGAAAGGAACCCAACAATACAATTATACCGACTTGGAAACCAAATCAGAGGGAAGTAGAGGAGGCCAATTTGGTCTCGCCGTTTGTTGCTTTCATGAGAAACAAGAACAGCCAAATTTTCAAAACGTGGGGGCTCCGTTCATCCAAGTAAAAAAAAAAATCAAATAGGATATTCCGTGGCTAGTTATTATGCCTTCAAGTACTAGACTTTCTTTTGGTCAACTTGTGCCACATATATTGTCTTTATTTCTCGGTAAATTTGGTCCTCAAGTCGTGCAGCTGAATTGAACAGCTGCCGACCGGTATCCCAGGTCCATGTACTATATCTATAAGAGTCAAATCAATAGGCGCCTTTTCGTGAGATAAATTGTGATATATCTTTGAAACGTGAAGTATATAGAATATTTCCTTTATATTGAGTTGTTTATTTTGACTTCAGAATTATGGTCAAAGTTTGGTATCTCCTTATATTTTCACTATATATATGTTACTTAGATTGACTGACTGTGTGAACTAATCACCATTATTCTTTCTTATATATGGGTGAGCATATAGTGTGCTGAACTATGAGAAATACTTGACAAATATTACCTTATCTTTCTTTTATTTGAAAAGAAAATTAAAGCTTGTGCAGAATACCTTGACCGACAATTTTCTCTAACAAGAAACATGTGCACAAAACAATATGATATTAAAGTGAAGAAAGTGTCTCTTTTCTGAAATCTGACATTTACCTATCCTCACACTAGAAGATGTGACAGTTTCGTTGCCCTTATTTATCAAAAGAAAGGTTCTTTAAAAAATTCTATGATTATCAACCTTCATGCAAATATCACTCAATCAGGATCCAACCTTCTATGAGGCAGCCATCAAAGATGGCAATCGATTGCAGGTAGCACATCTTTGTCCTCAACAAATACAGTGCCATTTAATGAAATGGATATAACAGAAGCACTAGTTGGCTGGATGCATCCTGATTGGTCAGTGTGGCTGGAAATACTTGAGCACTACAACTTGGGGAAAAGTTGGTCAGCTTGATCCTTTCCTAACACTGTCAACTGCTGTGCCTGTTGCATATTTCTAACATGTGACCTAATTAAGACACTGCTCATTGGAGTTCAGGAGTGGGATACCTTTACTCCATGATTCATATGTAGTGCAAGTTGTTGATGTGATGTTCAACTAACCATTTAGCCTGTGGTTCCGCACAAGTGTAAATCTGAAATTCTGAATACCACTGCTTAGTGCTTACGCATGTCTGAAGTTTTGCTGTCCCTTTGTATTTATGCTTTTCTAAACTGAAGTCTGAATTGTTTCCAGGGATCGTCCCAGAACAAATATGGAGGAATTTCTCCAAAGAAACCTCTCATTAATAAGGTATGTTGATATAATGCTTATGCAACATGCTTGTTGATTAGCAACGAATCTTCCAAGAACAAACTTACAATTACAATGTGAAAAAAGGAAATTTTGACTTAACTGATGTTTCCTTGCTGCAAACACTTTCCAGGACCATGAGCGTGCCTATTTCGATTCCGCCGATTGGGCACTTGGCAAGGTAATACAGAAAACCAAGAAATGCACATGTTTTTCAGGGAGTAAAATGAAAATAATTGGATTTTATGTTGCAACCAAGTTACAACCTTTTACCACTATATTCAAAATTCAGTGCTACCTATTTCTGCAGCAAGGCGCAAGCAACAGCACAAAAGGCACAACCGAGCCCCTGAAACCCAAGTTGCAGGTATATGATTGGATTGTATATGGCACAAAGAGTAGATTTATGACAATTGGGCATCCATGACAAACGATAGTACTTTTGCTTGTTCATTGTGTAAGCAACAGTGATGGATCCTCTGAACATTCTACTTCCTATGAAAGAAACCTATCTTTTTTTTAAAAAAAAATTCCACCTTGAAAAATGCATTAACCAAGTGTGAAATTATCATCTCCCAATCAATATACAATCTGTGCACACTTCTTTTTTTTCCTTTTGTTTCCTTTTCGGTTCAGTTCTTTTTTACAGCTTTCAAAGTGGTGTATACATCTTTCTATCCTAATACAAGGCAAATTATACACAAGCCTTTTGCATATCCCAAAAAAAAAATCTGTGCACAGTTACACACTGCACAATCGAGATTTTGACTTATTTGTTTTCTGTTGTTCTGTTCATCTCTGAAGCGCACGGCATATCCCCAGCTTCCTCCACGAAGGCCTGCGTGCACGTCAGGCGCGACGGAATAGTGTGCTCCAATCTCAGCAGTCAGCACTACATGTTTACATTTGTGAGTAGAAATGTAATTTTGTTGTTTGATTTCTGAAGAACTGAGTCAAGAAGTGATGTGAACTGTTCTTGCAGTCTTGCTCATTGGATCCGATACTCTTTGTACTTCTGTAGGTCGCTGAGACTGTGAGAGTATGGCAGGGCAATCACAGGGGGGGCATAGAGTTTGATCCAATTATTAATTGGGATGTAAATATGGATATTGTCAGCATGTAGCTATGTGCAATGGAATTTACAACATTTCTGTGACACTCTCATCGTTTCCTCTGGTTGGTTCAGTAAGTTTTCTGGATTTATGGTGAGCAGTGGGCTGAATTGCCGAAAATGTATTCACGACAATCCGGCGAATGCAAAGTTGAGGAATAAGTTCACTTTAGATCCGCCATATTGACGTTGAGCTTGAATCGCATCCTTAAATAGCAAATACCAAATATATCGTATCTCTTAACCCTTAAAGCCAGTGCAAACAAAAGTGGTTTTATCAGACATAGTGTCTATGTGGCTGGTTTGACTTATCCTCGTCCCACGTACGTGTTGACATAGCACTAACAAAAAGATTTAAAAAATTGAAAATAAAAACTAAATATGTAGAACTAACAAAAAGATTTAAAAAATTGAAAATAAAAACTAAATATGTAGAGCCCTGTGCCAGTCAACTAAAAGATTAAAAAAAGTGAGACCCACGTGTCAATGGGTCAACCCTCTCTCTCTCAAACCGGATTGGCGGCGGCGGCGACCGCGCGCTTGCTAGCGGCGTCTGCCTCGGTGACCCCATGGCGGCACAGCGACGCAAGACGGCGAGAGCCTCGTGGACATCGTTGCAAGCTGCCGCGCCGGAGCCTGGCTCGACGGGTGTGCTACCTCGCCTACGCCGACACCAACACGACGTCGCCCGCCCAGCGGGAGGGAGTTCCATCGGTGGCTTGTCACCGGCGGAGACATCCTCCTGCCGTTCAGCGACAACTTGTACGCGACGTTCCTCGACGTGAGCAACGGGCACCGGTCGCGGTGGGGGCAGATTCTGGCGGCGCAGGCGATCGACGTCGGTGCCACCACCACGGGGCTCTGGCGCAGTGCGCCGCGGACGCGGACGGAGAAAAAAAGCCGAGCTATGGACTCACAGAAAAAGGCCGAGCTATGGGCCTAAAGCGTATACATAAGGCCGAGTAGTAATTAGTTGGCCCAAGTACCGTAACCATCCCGAGCAGATGGCCAATACGGCCCAGCAAAAAAAAAAAAAAGACCGAGCAGCAGGCCAAAATGAGACCCCCACAACCCCTGGTTTTGACGTGGGCAATTACGGGTGTGGATCAAAAGATTCCCATTTTTACTCATTCAACTGCGTACTTTTGCCCCGGCCGTTTTCCGTGCCCCTCCACTCCAGCAGTCGAGCGGTCTCCACTACACCACTACCGTAGCAGGCTAGCAGCCGGAGCTGGCAGTCACGGCAGAGTACCAGACCCACGCAACAACAACTGTGCTCGTCGAGTAGAGTACGCATGCCATTGCTTTCTGCCAAGCGCGCGTCCACGTGATGGGGGCTGCAGGTGGCGCGGCCTTTTGGGCTCTGCATGCATCCGGCCAGCGTTGGAGTTCTAGCTAGGATCGATGCTGCTGTTGTGTCAGCTTGGCGCCTAGCAGTTAGCGCGTGGCTTTGCCACTGCCGGCGGCATTTGGCATCGTCGCCATGCATCCTCCACCTGATCCATGCCGCTGTAGTATGTACGTACCCCAGTACTAGACTGTACCACTGTATTTAGCTTAGTGTACAAATCAGCAGATGGTGGTGGTGAGATTACGCTGCTGGGTCAGGTTGGTTGGCATGGAATGGAACTGAGCGGCCGAGAAGAACCGGTGTAAGGACATTCACAATGCACCCTCGTTGGCGTTCATCCCCTGTCTACCACGTCCGAGATTCGTCGCCACGTATGTATCTGGTGTTGCCAACCTAAAGACCTCACAGCCAAAGTGAGACACCGGATCTTCATCAGTATTTGTCACATTTTTTAGGGCGGTGCGTGTACGGATCAATCAACACGTTGGGAGAGGGCGTGAGCCAATGCAAGGCAGCAGCGGTTGCCCGCGAGGACACCACCACGAGAAGAAGGGAAGATGGTGGTGGCGGAGGATCTGACACCTAACCTCATTGTTATCCCTGTTCCACCGAGTCCATCGTCGTCCCCCAATCCGTGTTGGCGCTCATCGCCGACCCATCCGCGCACAGCACCAGCTTCCTTGCCACGCCGCTGTTGCTGCCCAACGTTGGCGAGCTCGTTCTCACCCTGCCACCGCCAGATCTGTCGGGGAGAGAGGAGGGGAAGAGGCGCCCGTTGCCGTAGAGCTTGCCACGGCAGTAGAGGCGCCCGCTGCCGTCGAGCTATTGCCACCGCCTCGTCTTCTCCGAAGCAGCACCAGCGGAGTAGGGAAGGTAGAGCAGCAACGGCGGTGGGGGGAAAGGCGCTGGCAAAGAAAGAAAGTGAGAGTAGTGCCAATGATGGGGGTGAGCGGCACTGGCTTGGGAAAGGGAGAGTGGCTGCGCAGAGGGGAGGGAATGGAAGCGGTGGTGGAGGCGAATCGAGGTATCGATGCAACGGAGGTGGAGGAACCGGCGAGATTTGAGGTGGTCCTAGAATCGGGAGAGAGAAAAATAGGAGAAAAGAGAGACTCAACTAACTAGCGGAGCAGGGGTTCTTTTGTATGCATCTTAGAGTTAGTAGGGTTCCCTATGTAAAATAAATGATTAGAATATAATTTCAGGACTTCAATAAAAAATATATGGGCTAAATGGCATAATAGCACTGTGGGTCCACTAAGAACACCGTGCATTGTAGAAGTAATACCCCAAAACCTCCGTGCATACATGTATCTTGCTTTTTTCCTTTGGCCAGTCACGGCCTACGTAGCCGACGCACTGTGAATGGTCTCAGTGTGTCACCCATGGTGTCGAAGAACGGCCATAGTATAGCTCAATACAAACAGAGATAAACTCAAATATGGTCACACTCAAATTGTACATGATTACGCTCAACTTATTCTCAGCATGATCAATCCTAGCGAAGACATACCATCTCAGCTTTTTAATAATCTTGGAAGGTGGGCCCGCCCACATGTGCGGGCACCTTATTTAAGGTTGGTTGAATTTTTATTATAAATCTTTATGTGCGAGTGACTTTTTAAAAATATTTTTTACGGTATTCTAAACTTGTTTTCGTCAATAATTTATTTGGTTTATTTGGGATTGCTTTGAACGTTGATTATGATTTTCTTTCAATTATTGCAAGACATAAATTTGAAGCTGAAATTTGGAATTGTGCAAAATATTGTGTCGTAACAATGGAGTTTGTTGGATTGAAAAAACTTCCATTTATACTATGTGCTTCTTTCTTTTTGGAACATGTAGCATATGTTATTTTTGGAGTTTTCAAACTTTAACGATAATTTTTTTCTTGTATATTAGAGATGTGTTTATGGATTTTAGGATATATTAATGTAAGATATTTTCTATCAAAAATATTTTCAATAGGACAATTTCTCCTAATTAAAGTGACTTCTATTTACTTCTACTCTCTCCTTCATTTTTAATATGTGTTCTTGAAAACTGAATTTAAATTGAAATAAGAGCGCAATTATATAAACATTATTAGTACGCGCAGATAATTTATATATGAATAAATATTGTAGAGTAAAGCACATTTTTATTAGGTCAATTATTATTATAAAGTATATTTTTATTGCATGGATTCTAATATATAAGTTTAGTGTGTTTGATGTTCCTTAATTAATCAAATTTAGTATGAAATACCCACGTACCATGTGTATTTAATAGAAAATGAAGAGATAGAAAACATTAAGCGTACTTCCTCTATTATTTTACTTATTATTAAGGGTATTAATATATTTTCCAAAACGTAGAACTTATATATGGGGGCACATAATACTGACGCTCTAGGTTATTCTTGTATGGTCTAAATATAGAGCAGACCCTACATGTTAAAAATATTCATAGGATGATATATAACTCATAACATTACTTTTTTTTTCACGATTTCTCACAATTCTCGAGTCCCATCCAAAGCACCAAGATATGGACTTTCTAATTACTTGTGCATATTTGTGAACTAATAGCAAATATATAGTGATATATAATCTATATTGCTATTCATTTGGATTATATACATGCAAATAATCAAGGTACAACCTAAAATATAGTCAATAAACTTAATGGTAAATAACGTAATGGTGTAAACTTTGCTTTTGAACATTGTATATATAGTTAATTTAGCTAATATAATGGTATAAAGCTATTGATTTAATCGCAAAGAATATAGTAGTGCGCATGGATAAAAATTGCTTGATTTAAAAGTTACTGTTGATTAAAATTTATTGTGGTAAATGATTAATGTTATGTCAACTACTATAAAAAAAAAGGAATAAAGGAGAGGCAAGAGGAGGTGACGGGAGGGACGGTATGTGCGTGCATGCATCATGAAATGATATACAATAAAAATATTGACTATCGGGTGGCATGGATAAAAGTATAGCCCAACATTATTTTATGTTCAATAGCATATGTGTTATAAAGTGATATATAATATTGTAATTTATGTAGACAATTTATTTTTACATTTAGTTAATAACTATATATCGGATGAAATGCAACGGGTGATGAGTCTATATATATAGTGCGAGACAACAAATATATTTTTTATGATAAATCATAGTCTTTTAAAACTATTGGTTTATTTGCGATAAATATGATGATTCGAATTGATTAGAAATCATAGAAATAAAGTACTTCATCCGTTTCATATTACAAGACTTTCTAACATTGCCTACATTCATATATATGTTAATGAATTTAGACATATATGTGTGCCTAGATTCATTAATATCTATATGAATGTGGGCAATGCTAGAAAGTCATATAATCTGAAACGAAGGAAGGATAGGACTAAAACATATTTTATCCATTAAAGGGTATAGTTGATTGATTCCTACATCTCAACAACTGTTGAATAAAAGAAGGAGACGGAGAAGAGCGTGTCTCACTGGTGGAGAAACCATCTTTCGTCGGTCGGCCTAAGTCCACAATAGTCCCGGTTACAACAAAAACAGGGACTAAAGATGACCTTTAGTCCCGGTTAAAAAGGGTAACATGCATATTTGATCTAAAGATCATCTTTTGTCCCGGTTCAAATGCTGTCAGGGCTTGTCAGGCCCCCCCGGATCTTAGTCCCGGTTGGTAACACCAACCGGG